TATTAAATTTGATAAGATAATTGCCAAGATATTTAAGCCTAAAGTCAAGAAAACTTTTACTTAGAAAAAATTTGTCCATTTCTATTAACTCACCCCCATATTTTGCATTTTTGTTATATAAAATTTTTTTTTAATAAAAAAAGAACTATAGTAAATATAGACATTTCAAATTACTGCATAGAATATCGTGGCTTATACGTATGTACTGACATACAATTGGCATGGTTACGAATGTTATGTCTGCAAACTTAGCATTGGACCGGATTATTGGTCATAATTTTTGATAATTTTAGGTTTAGGCGAATATAGAATTATATAGAAGCTATATCGATATATCGAAAATTATCCGTTTTAGAATTACAAATTATATATAACGATAAGCCGTCATTTCAAATTTACAGTGTCACAAGCATATTTTTCCGATTGTAATTTACACGAATGATTTTTGAGTATAAACGCATGCTTAGAGAATCTGTAATCCTATTGTGTGTGCATGTTTATTACACGTAATTTGATTGACGACGATAATCTCAACAATTGGCTACTCGTTAAAATAGAATTTAAAATTTACTTGTGCAGATCCGGATTCTGTAGAAAAATACTTGATCTTCTCAGGGTGAAAGTGTAGTGATTTTCACAAGAAATTTACTCGTGAAGATGTTTTCTAGAGGGGGAAATTATATTATCAGTTATATATTTTTTCACTAGGCGGAACTTAAGAAAAAAACAAAAAAAAGTGACAATGTATTTATTGATTTTCTCCATTTAGCAAGAAAAGTAACCCAATCGGTCAATGGAGAATAGCAAACAACCAATAAAATATCGTGTCCTTAGCATGACTTAGAGCTTTACGAAAATAACCAACAGTTTTATTTAGATTGACACTTAATAATAAGAGATAGTCTTTATTTTTATTTTTTATACCGGGTATTTATGCAAATATCCCTAAACAAGTGAACCAACTCCGGTTAAAATGGTCTTAAAAAGAATAAAATTTATACTTGTAGATTAACAAATGGTAACAATAGATTATAATGATTTACATGTTACATTCAAGATTCGCTCATGCGAATTTAACGAACGCTAAATGGACGATGGAAAAAAAGTAATCTAGTCAATTGCAGTTTTGTCGCACTGCAGTGCCGAGATTGTGCATGGGGTATGACTTGGTTAGTATGACAATAATACACGCTTATTTATATTTATTTCCTCTTTTTCTAACCTTATAACTTGTGTTTTTCTCTTTCTCAAACATAAATAATACTATTCCTTAGACCATCTCTTCTAACGCCTTCATAAAATTTCGAGAATATCACTGCTTCTCCTATCATTCTTTGTCAACGATAAATGTCATCAGTTAAAAAGCAGTTGAAGAATCAACGTTCTTTTCGTGAACGCCTTCGTAGTTTAGAAGATAAAGTAAAAATGTATGAAAAAGCATACGTAGATTCTCAGAACGAGAATAAATTGTTAAAAGAAGAGGTTGAAATATTGAAGAGACGCCTCTCTAGATTTGAAAAAGATTTTGCATTTGACAGTTCTAAAGCGACTAGCGCAACAATATACGCGGCCCAAAACATGCTCGAAGAAAGCCAAATGAATGATAACCAAATTCATCACGATGTTGATGATAGTAGTTCTAATGATGACATTGTTATAAATGACGAAACAGTCAAGACAAATTAGTATCATATCAAGAAAAACAGTCGAGAACTCGAGAACTTTTTAGAAATAAAATAAGAGCATGTGATTATCATATGACCATGACTTGTATATAATGTCCGGTTTTTATTGTTTTTCAAATTATATATAATATTTTTAAAAATATTATAATTTTAAGCTTAGAAATCGCCGAGATAAAATTCATCTGTATATGTTTTTATTATTGTTATAAATATTTTCTCAAATTTTAAATTTTAAAACCAGATCTTATACAGTTTAAAATTAAAGCTTTTAAAGTGCTAAATATTTTTATTTAGTATTTTAAATACGAATTACTAAAACCATATTTGAGAAAAGGTATACATGATAAATTTTATCTCAAGTGTGCATTAAAATTATTTATTATTGTAACTTTTAGCTATTAAATTTTTTCAATATTTATACGTAACAAAATTAAATATCGATTAAAGCATTGTTAATTTTAATTTATTTTTTAGTAAAATTAATTTGTAACAGTATATGGTTTTAAAAATATATATATAATAAAATATAGTACAAGTGACACCTACTTTATATTATAGTTGATTATTAATGTGTTACTTATACTAAATTTTATTTATTTAAAATATTTTGTATTATATAGTAAGTATATACAATAATATAATATATATAGTATAATCTGTTATTAATTTTAAAATTTTATTACATATTAAAACTATATATCTATATTAATTTTTTTAAAAATTATTACAAATAATTATTAAAAAATCTACACTAGTGTATAAAATATAAATTTATATAATATAAAAAAACAAAATCACTTAATATTAGAGTTAGAGTTAAAAAGTATTTTATATATTAAAATTTGATATAAATTATTTTTATAGGCTAGTGTAAATATTTGTATTTTAAAAAAACTTTTTAATCTTGATGCTTAATAAAAGCTTATAAAATTTTAATTAATTAATTAAATTTTTTTGAAGTTATAAGTGTTGCTATATTTCAAAAATCTACTAAGAAATAGAATTGGTTATTCTAAATAAAAATGCTCAGAACTTCTAAAAATTTTATAAAAACTAAAATTTAATTTTTTTATTTTTTTTATTTTGTAAATATTAAATATTAAAACAATGATAGTATATTATAATTTATTACAATAATAATTTAATATAGTGTTTGGAACTATTCAAAAAATCTTAATCCAGATCATCTGCAAGTAATTATCTAGATTATCCAGATAATCAAAAAAATGCTAATTAAGGTTATCCGTGGTTAGATTAACTGGATTATCTGAATAGTAATAGTTAGAATATATAAACTTAATCTTGTATATAGTTTGATATGAGCATCTTATGGATTCAATTTTAAAACTAATAAACTATTGTTCTTTAACTTCTTAAAACTGCTTCTGAAAATTACTTTAGTTGCTACTTATTTTTTTTAGAATTCTGAATTAAAAATTAAATAGGCATAGCTGGTGATAAAATTAGCTTTTTTTTAACAAACAATGATTATGTAAATAAGTACATATTTAAAAAAAATAAAATTTATATATTGCTTCTTTTGTTATTAAAGTTGAATACCGAATCATAATTAGAGGCCTTTAATTTAGTGTTTATATTACTTGGGAAATAAGAAAAGTAGATAAATTTATTTATTAATTTATTAATTTCTAACATAAACCGTAAAATATTTTTTTATCTTTATATTCATATAGAAAATAAAACTTATCACATTATTCTCTTATCTATCTCTATTATTCATTACATAACTTTTCGTTGCACAACAAATACTTTAATCTGATTTTGTTATTAACCTTACTCAGCCTCATCTTATTTTTTATTAGCCACCTACAGCTCTTTATGTTACAAATAATTTGTTTTTACAATATTTTAGAGTTTCATCCTATCTAGACTTGTATACAAGATGATTAAGTCTCTTTCTTCATTTTCTTTATATTCTTGATCACTTTTATTAGATCTCTAAAATTATTATTATATATTTTTAATAGAACAAAATAAGTAATACGTTTTGCTACTAGAAGGTTTATGAATTTCCATATTTTATATAACTCATTGGTCTGCTTAGCTATTCTAATAATATTTTGACGCTTTGTACTATTAAAATAGAAATTAATAATATTATCTGCTAAAGGCTTTAATTGCTTATTTTTCAAATTTTCCAATAAGAATTTCAAATAGAAATAATACTACAAAGAAATAACTAGATCAATAAGTAAATGGGCTAATTGATTACATATGTAGTTTAATTTTTCTTTAGCACCTTCACCAATAATTTTTACAGAGTCTTGAACAGGCATTTTATTATTCTTTAAATTGTTAATATAAAGGGATATTTGTAAATATATCCTCTGAAAATTATTTATATGCTTCGGGGTTGTTTTTTTACTAACACAAGAAGCAACTAGTTCATAGTATATAATTTTATATGCTAAAATTCTAAAAGTTCTAAAAATATTAACTTCTTGAATTTGATGCTATAAAACTTCTAAAATTTGGACAACAAATGACAGAATTGAAGAAGAGCTCATGATAATAATTGAATAATAAAATTTTAAAATTTAGGGCTATAAGATAAGATAAACATTACTTTAGACTACACAAACTGAATTTTCTGGTTCTCATAATATGTAATTTATATTTTCACCCGCCAGCCTGGGTTTTAATTTAAAAAATTAAAAATTTTTTAATTTAAAAATATAGATTGTAGAATTGTAACCTGAGACCCACTAAAATATTTTATAAGATAAAAATTTTAATCAAAAATTTATTATAACCCGTGATAATACGCTATATAAAAAAATCTCTAGTACATAGATAGCAAAACAATTGTGCTGTTTATTTTATTGTAAATTACTTTCCATAAAAAATACACGAATGTAATTTTTTATAACAATTAATTTATAAAGTATTTCTGCCCTTAGCATTTGCATTAATTTATACAACTACATTATGAATAACGATTATATATACATAATTCAGAACATTTACTCAGGTCTTATAAGAACTCATAATTAATAGTTTCTTCTTCAACTCATTTAGTTGGTATCATGTCAAGTGAAACTTCATAATGAAACTATGGGAAATCAGTGAAATGATCATTGGTAAAGAAATATTCAAATATTCACTAGTGTGTTGTCTGATTTGAAAATTATTCTCGTTTGTTATAACTTGTTTCATGATTAATATATTTGATATAAATATCATATGAATGACACCAAGGGAAAATATAACTTCAATTATATAAGTTTTATATGATTGAAGTTTCACTTTCCTTGGCATCGCTCAAATATGTATTATACTATCTTTAGTTAATCGGATATCTTTAATATTATTATCTGTTAACCAATTTTATAATGTGGCTATCTGGATAGTCTAGTGGTTAACTAGTTATCATATCTTAGAGTATGACCACTACAAATCCGGTTAATAGCAAAAACATAGTGTTATCAAAGCATTATAAAACAGAATTTTAATACCTTCCAAGAAATTTGGATTTTCCATAAAGTAATTAACATCTTTAGCTTAAGTTTGTGTTCTTATAATATTCATGATACAGTCGGGCTTTTCTAAATGCAACTTTTAGCTATAGCCCAAAAAATGCAAGCTGTCTGGTTCTATTTAGAAAGGTTTGACTGTTATTTTCATGCACGTACACACAGAAATCACTTAATATTCATTATTCGAATAGTAAGCTCTATTCCTGAAATGGCAAGAATATGCCTGTAAGTGATTCAATTGTGTAGCATCATAATTTTCATAAGTTTGAATCACAGTATGCAGAAATAAATTTGTGCATACTTATTGCCACGGTCAAGAACGGCAACATGATGAAAGTTGGGACCTGAGATATGTAGTAAGAGAAATAAACATGGAGGAGAAGTTCAATTGATATTAGAATAACTTAAAAAAAAAATAAAAATAAGATTAAGATACATAATTAAGTGCTTGATGCAGTTTTACATATAGAATCATAATCACGTGTATCGCCAACTAAATTACGGGTAAATATGATCGGGAAGTCGGGACGTAATCAGTTAAGGCGCATGAAGTATGTAATTAATTAATTTATGAACAAATTATAAGATAATTAAGAATAGTTAAAAATCGTATGATCGATTATGACGAAATAAATTAAGGCAAAGTCAAAGAATCAAAATTATGATGTAATTAATTGAAAAGTCTAATCCAATATATATAAGAAATTTAAGAAAATAAAATAAAGTTTTTACTCTCTCGCTTCCATAAAATAAATACGAAAATTACCGTAAATCTACTTTGTATTAAGTTAGTGATGTGTGGCCGTGTTTGCCAGTAAACCCAATCATAGTTAGTGGGGCTGCAACACTTATATAATTATTAATTAATTTGACATGGTTAAAGCTTGTAACTAAAAAAATTTACCATAGTCTTGAAAATTAATCGTTTACCTAATCTATAGAGTGTCAACCTATCTTGAAAGTGCCAATTCAATCTAGAGTGTAGGTAACCCAACCCAGAGTGTGGCAACCCAACCAAGATGGTGGTAACCCTAATCCAGAGAGTGATAACCCCAACCCAGAGTGTGATAACCCCAACCCAAGGAGTAGTAACTTCAACCTAAAGAGTGGTAATCTAACCCAAGGAGTATTAACCTAAAAAAGACAATTATTTAATATTTGTTTGTTAAATTGTTTGAAGCTTGGGCTGCTTATTTATCATATAAGCTGGTATAGGGTAAGGCTTGTATAAGGCAATACTATGCTATAGAAAGCCAAAAAGATATAAAAATATGATTCAAAAGCAAAAAAAAAATATTAAATAGTTACAGCTATAACTAATGTGTATGTATGCGCACTGCCTCCAGATTCTGTTGCAACAACAGTTGATAAAAAATATATATATATAAAAAGGCTTCCCAAAGGGAAATGAGTTAAGTAGATACGTAAGTGAATTTAGAAGCTTCAAATTCACGATGAGAAAAGGTTAGCAATCAAAATATAATTAAATACAGTAATAGAAAAT